CAGGGTCTGGTAGCTGGACATGCTTCAGAAGGAGGGGTGTCGCTGACAGCCACTGCTTCTGATAGATGCTGGGCCTTTGCCCTGCCCTGTACTGCCTTAAGCCACAATGCCTAACAACTGGACTGGAGCCTCCATGTTCATTGCTCAGATTTTCTGACATGAGCCCCTGTAGTGGTCTTTACGATGACATAAAGGACCACTGGTCGTTAAACGTGGTGGCAAATCTAGAAAAAGGATGTTCCCTTGTTATCTGTAGCTCTGATTTAAGCCATGCTTTCTTTTAGCGCTTGCTCCCAGCCTATCTCCCTGTGGCTGCTAACTGCTGCGCCTGACACATTTAATTGTATCTCTGCTATGGGTGTGTTGAAAGATGTGTTCTGGTCTACTATGCCCCCCCACACACACACATGCACACACACACCCCTCATAAGATTTTGCTCCTGGGTAGGTTGGGTGGAAAAGGGGATGCTCATTTGTGCTGTTGCTATCTCTCAGGGCATTTACAAAATCTTTAAAATGTACTTCTCTTCAGCGTTGAAATGTTCCCAATAAATGCATAGTCCTTATTTCTCAGATGCAAATGAAGTCATCCCAGTATATCGGCTAGAATCCCTTTTGTGCCAAGTACATCACAGGCCCATGGAGACAAATCCCACCCGCTGCACTCAGGCTACCGCGGACCTGCAGACGGCTGTCTTTGCCTATGGAGAAGGAGCATGTCACCTATCAGGCTTGCTTCCTGACTGATAGCCAGGTCTGTAGCCGCCTTCCAAGCTGAACTCGCAGGCTTTTGATCTATACATCCAGGAGACACATTTCAGGATTCCAACTTGTAGAATTAGGTCCGAGGAAGAGAGTGGAGCCCCCTCACTTTCCTCCATCTGTCTGGAACATTCTGGGAGCCTAACTCCAGGCCACTGCCTTTGCAGGCTAAGCCAGACATTGGTCTCAGTGTCTGCCAGGCCTGGCTCCTCACAGGACTGCTTCCATTGTGCCCACACAGCCATGGGAAATGTACATGTACACTGGCCTTCCCATCTGGAAAGCTGCTATCGACCCCTTCCTTCCAGCTCCCCATTACTACCTGGGATTTGGCCACAACTGGAAGCAAATCTTGGCAGCTCGATTTCCAACTTCCACTCCCTTTCCCCCAATGCTTGAAGTACATTAACAGATATCACACGTGACATTCATCTATTTTGGAACAATGATTCGGATTGAAAGCTCTCTCCCCCCAATGTAAACAACTGCAGAACGTGTTTCCATGTAAGTCTTCCGAGAAATTAGCTGATTCTGCAGCAACAGCATTGATTTACGACAACAGTGGTGCGAGACAGAGCCAACAGGCAGGCCCTCCTGATATGCGCTAAACATCTTTACTCCCTAAAATGGAATTACGTATGGTGCAGAAATGCTTTGGAGCAAAATTATTCGTGTACTCCACCGACAATGTGATTTCCTGGATTTACAATGAGCACTTGGGGAATTGTGTGCATTGCCTAAAAGAGTTAATATCTCTCCCCAAAGTGCTTGATTTTAATATTTGGGAAGTTTATAACCTAGTATACTACATTGCTTTACAAAAATGTCTCATGGCTATAAGCCTTCACGCATATGAAAATACTTGTCTTTGTGGATAAAGATGCTTCTCTTGACAAAAGTATTAAATAGAACAAGTTTTGACTCTCTAAATCTCACCACTTAAAAAAAACTGCAGTTTTCACATTAACACAATAATAGAACATAACATATGTAATTATCTACCACCATTTAGTCAAGGGGTCATTTCAAATGGTTGGCTGGACAAAGATAAATCACATTTCTCTTTTGCCCAGTCTCCTTCCTCTACCATTTGCTGCTTCTCAAAACAGTATCCCTGTCAGTCCACCAACAGTAACATGCAGAGAAACCCAGACACTAAGAAGGATGATGACAAATTGTCTATGGTGAGAACCAGGGGCAGGGCTGGGGTCTTCCTTCATTAAGCTGTAACAGAGTTAGGAAGGAGGATTTGGAAATGGGAAAGTGAGAACCACAGCAGTTGAGAGGTGGCGAAGACCATGATAGTAATGTGTGAGAAACACTTTGAGACAGTAGAGATGGTTTCGGTCACATGAGAAGCAGAACGCTCACTGCCTTTTTCTGAATGAGAAGCCACTATTTTTCCAGAAGGAAAACATAGATCTTTGCTTAAATGATGCTCACAATCTCTCCCTGCAAGGACCGTATAAATCATCCCCCACTCGGGCAGCTCACCCTTTGAAGACCAGGCCTGTGCTGGGGGAGCAGTAATCCTCCCCACTGGGGGCGCCATAAATACAACCCTGTTATCAGCCAGCTCCAGAGCTTCCAAACCTGAGGCCCCAGAAGTGGGAGCCCAGACGAAGCGTGGACTAAGATCCAAGTTGAACTGTTCCTTGAAAAGTTTGACTCCAGTTCATCTGACTTCCTGTGCCTGCCAACTTGGAATGGAACCCTCCTGAGAACACATTTTTTCCGACAAAATTTACAAAGAGCTGTGCCGCGCGAGCCAGCAGCTGGAAGGAGCGGGCAGGCAGCCGTGCTCCGAGAGCACATTGTATACAGCCTTCTGGCACCTCTGGGCAGCGCCTGGCAGATGACCAAAAGCCAGAGAGGTAATAAAGTACAGGCTCCCAGGCCAGCGCTGGCCAGGCTCCTTCCCGGGGAGAGGATGACTAATACCAGGCAACAGCAGAACCATGTTTTTCTGCTCTTAGTAGAAGAGACTCCAAGGAAAAGTCCATATGCCATGTCTACCTCACCTGTCCCGGGTGACAAGTGGAGAGGCAGCTTTCTCTGTGTGGAGCTAGGCAGCACACACTTAGAAGCAAAAGTGAGCCTCTACAAATAAAAGTTTAATTGACCAGCTTCCATTCTAAAGTGATCCGGAACAAGCGCCGTCCATTCCCTGGCCGTTTTAAAAATAACTGGAAGTCGACCTTCCACTCAGATTGGGGGTTTACCCGTTTCAAATCCTCCTACCTGATTTACATAGCTCTCTGTTCTCAGCACTTCCTTTCAGCAGAAAAAAGACAGGGTACTAGAAGCCAAGACCTATGAGCCTGCGAGAGATGTGCTGTCCCATCCGCACAGGTAACCCAGAGCTGCCTTTATTTCCTGTGGGCACCCAAAGGGACAGTTTGGGGTATTTGTTGCCCCAGACCTAGTGGGGGAAAGGACTCTCACCACTACCCCCAGGCTGTAAGTATCATCTCAATTCTCATGCACTATTTTCTTCAATATCCTCCTGGTTCTAAACATGAATGTCTGCTGTACAAGGCTATGTTCTGAGCCATCCTGCCTCCATCTTCAGAAGTTTGGCTGAATCTCCTCACAAAAGATTATCAGAAGCCGGGAGGTGGTGGCGCAGGCCTTTCATCCCAGCACTCGGGAGGTAGAAGCAGGCGGATCTCTGTGAGTTCGAGGCCAACCTGGTCTACAAGAGCTAGTTCCAGGACAGAAAAACAAAAAACAACAAAAAAAGATTATCAGAGACAGGCTTCTGGACTGTTGACATTCCTCATAGAAGGAGAGGAAAGGGCCCCAAAGGGTCCTCCCCTGAGTATCCAGTCACCCCTCCCAATTAGCTGTATGTATTTCCTGATTGCCTATGATCTTGGGATCTCAATGAGGGCTTAGAATACATAGAGAAGAATTAGGAAAGTAGACTCCAATTACATTGCCATGGGGGACTTAGCATCTATGTTGGGAATACACTTTCCACTGTGGTTGCTTCAAGGTTGTCCATGCTCCTGCCCATGACCCCTCACCTATGGCTCTGTAAATCAGCATAATAAATTCATTGGCCCTCCAGAATAATAAGACATGAACATACCTCAGTTTGTCATTGGGACCATAGGAGGAACAGGTAGACATTGTTAATGTCTCCTCAGGGAAGAAGTTTTAGTAACAGTGTCTATACATGGTCACATTGCAGTTGGGTCTGGGGATGTAGCTTGGACAGTGGAATATTGGCTTAAGTAAGCATGAAGCCCTGGGCTCAATCCCTAGCATGGCGTAAACTATGTCTGATAAAACATACCTGTAATCCCAGCATTTGGGAGATAAAGACATGAAGATCAGAAATTCAAATTTATCCTTAGCTACATGGGGAGCCTGAGGCCATCCTGGGCTACATGAGACCCTGTGCTGAGAAAAGAGTAGGGAGAAGGCTGCATCTCAGAATGGACTAGCCAAGCTGAAACGTTCTGAGAGCCAACCACCCATCGGCAAGGCCCAAAGAGATGCCATGGTGTATGTGTGGGTAAGTGTGCTTTATTTGTTTAAAACCATGGTCCTGGCAAACCCTGGCCACCTAAGAGTAAATTGTGAAGACCTTACTACCAAATAAAACCACTTAGGTCAAGGGAAAGCATGAGGCCATGCACATACATGGCCTATCAAAAAATGTTTGCTACAGTGTGCATGTCACATAAAATGCAGGCTGTCCCAGCTAAATTCAGAGTTCAGGCAAACAATATGTTGTTTATCCCATCCAGTATGGATGTATACTTATTCTAAGATGTTACTTGTTCATCTCAAATCAAACTCAAAATTGCTATCCTCATGTGTCGAGTCTTATCTTCATGAGGGAGTTCCTGCTGCTGCTGAGACAGTGGAGTTTATTCCAGGTCATGCGCAGAACAGCTGAAGCACTGTGGGAGCCTGGTCAGCCCTGGGGACCCAGCAGAGCAGGAGAAAGGAGCAGCCCACCTCCAACTCCTCCCCAGCTTCCAATTCCAGGGGCCTCTGTGAGTTGCTGAGAATTAAACCAGGCTGTCATAAGCTAGGGAAGGAAAGAGGAATCCGATTGGAAAAGAGTACGCCAGGCTGTAAATAGAGGGTGTGTAACCAAGCAAGGGAGCTAGGAACCATTGCCTTCTCAGATCTTCGAGGGTAGAACTGTCTTCAGCTGATTTTAAAAAAATAAAAATAGAGACAGAGAAGAAAAAGAGAAACAGGGATGAGAGAATACATACCTGTCTATCTATGAGTGCCGCTGAAGAAGAGGGGCACATCCAGAGAGTGTTGGAGAAGGCTTGGATCAGGTCCTTGTGTGACTGTTAGCCATCTTCTGTTAGGATAATTCTAGCCACTGGTGAAAAAGAAATTCAGCATCCTTGCCAACACTTCCAGAAACTCAGAGAAGGATAAAGAAGAAAATAACAATTACTCACATCCCTGAGATTGAAAGAGACCCAAACACTCCCTTCCGTTGGTGCTCTGGGCACTAATGCAATTTCAGCAGCGTTGGAGTTTCAAGACTCGCTATTTTATCAGGCAAAGGGCCTTTGACCGGCAACAAAGAATCTCTAGTTCTCAGTGAATGAATACTCTCACATGTGTTTGGTCTCTTTGCTCCCCGTGAACCATAAGGGATTTTATATTTAAAATAACAACCCCTGGTGTCTATAATTAAGAATGGTGAGTTGTCATTTGGTGTAGGAATTTTTAACTTTGTGTGTGTGTCCATGTATGAAGGTGCATATTCATATGTGCACTTATACATGTACAAAGTTGGCGTCAGGTGTCTTCCTCCATCACCCTCCACTCAGTTCATTGAGGCAGATCCTTCACTGCATCCAGAGATGGTTAGTTCTGGCCAGTCTAGCCAGCCACCTTGCTCCAGAGATACCCTGTCCCTGTCTCCCCACTGCTAGGATTATTGGAAGCCTCCATTCCTGTCCCACTTTGACATAGGCTCTGAAGATGAGTGCTAATCCTCATGTTTTTACAGTGAGCACTCTATCCACCATGCCATCTCTCCAGCCCTGCGATTTTCAGTGTTTGAGTGGATAAAGTGCATCCTTGTGTTTACAGTCGGGTTGTTGTTCTTCCTCACTCCTTCTGAACCCAGAACCCCAGGGCCTTCCTCTTGGGGCACTCCCAGTTCTGTTACGCTTACCCTTTAACTCGGCTGAAATGCATTTTCATCCAGAAGTGCTAAAGAGATGCTTGGCCAAATGATTAACTTACCACCATCCTCCTCACTCGGTCACCCAGACGTCTCCTACCTATTTGGACCACCACAGTTATCCTATGCTATCTGTCTCTCGGTTGGATAGATACCTGGTAGATCTCATGTGCTTGGGAAGCGCTTCCTTCTTCCCTATCACTAACATGTCAAATCTCCCACCCACAATCCACCCTTAAAGCTGTGGAATATTCCCTAATTTCCCCCTGTTATCCTTTCTCTCTGGTAGAATTCATTATTGGCTGTCCTTCTGGGGGAAATCAGAGTCAAGGCTTGTGTTAGTGACTACGTTCATCGTTACAATGAAAGACCTAACAAAGACAACTTAGGGGAGAGGCTGTTTTTGGCTCACAGTTTGAGGGCACTCATGGCTGGGGTGTGAGGTGACAATAGAGACTCCAGCTGTGGTGGCAAAAGCACAAAGCATGGGGCTGGAGAGATGGCTCAGTGGTTAAGAGCATTGCCTGCTCTTCCAAAGGTCCTGAGTTCATTTCCCAGCAACCGCATGGTGGCACACAACCATCTGTAATGAGGTCTGGTGCCCTCTTCTGGCCTGCAGACATACACACAGACAGAATATCATATACATAATAAATAAATAAATATTTTTTTTTAAAAAAAAGCACAAAGCAGCAGGTCACACCTCATTCATACACAGGAAAAAGAGAGAGATCCACACTGGTGCCGATCGGACTTCCTGCCTCCTTTCCCCCTTTAATTTGGTCTGGCACCCAAACTACCAAGGGTAGCTCCTCCCTCCTCCATTAGCCCCTCCGGGAACACCCTCCCAGGCATGTCTGAGGTGTGTCTCCCAGGTGATTCAAAAAATCCCATCAAACTGACAATGAAGAATAAACACAGCTCTCAGTTTCTGTTTGGATTGAGATTGTCCTAAAAGCAAGGCTAGGTTAAACGTGGAGGCTTTGACTTCTCCACACAGAACCAAAGTGACTGTTTATTCGAGATCCTTTTGATGTCTCTCAAAGCCTGACATCTCCTCAAAGGAACCTCCAAATGGGCCTCACTAGGTTCACCCATAGAGTGGACTGTGCTACCCGAAGCGAGTGACCCAGAAATCCTTTATTACTTCATTTTCCAGCTAATTATTAGAGCAAAGTAGGAAAATTATTGATCTGTGTGTGATATCATCAAAATAAGCGGCTTAACCGCTTTTTTTTAACGTATTCCTTTAAAAATTTTAGACATGTAGCTTGTGTTACTGTTCTCATAGTTCCACTCAAATATGGCCCAAAAAATAGCAACATAAGAGAAGGGGGGGATTGTTGGAATTTACTGTCCAGCATGGCGAGGAGGGGACAGTGCTAAGAGTGAGTTGAAGGGAGCAACAGGAACAAGAGGCTGTTTGCCCACATTTGAGTAGCTGCTAGGACAGCAAGTGGGGCTAGGCCCTAAACTTCAAAGCCCACACCCTCCAATAGAGTATGTGCATGCGCGCACACGAGCGCACATACATACATACACACACACACACACACACACACACACACACACACACACACCAAAGCTTCCACAGTCTACCCAAACAGCGCAACCAGGACCAAGTGTTCAAACACATGGGCCTATAGGAGGTATTTCAAACTCAAACCATACTGTCTTCTGTGTATTCTTTAATCTTAATCCTGCTCCCTGCCCTGCTGAACCAGCAACACTAGCGTTGGAACCATGACCTCCTTGTGTTGCAGAGGTTTTTAAAAGAGCACTTTTTTCAGGATTCTTACTAAGTGATGTACAGCGACTGATTTCAATGGCTTTTTTTCCCCCTCATGTCAAGAAACTGTTCTCCTATTCCTGTCTTATTAAGTTTTTATCAGAGATTGATGTAGAATTTTATCAGGTGTCCTCCGGGAGTTTATGGAGGTCTTTCCTCTTTTAATCTACCTGTGTGATATCTTTTATTAATAGATTTCTGAATATTAAAACATTATTGTATTCTTAGAATGGATCTATATGGCATAGGAAGCTGTTGTTTGCAACTGACTATGTATTATTTAGGGCTTCTTCTTTTTCTTCTTTGATTCAGCAGCCACATACGCACCACACCAGAGCCAGCCAGCTTAGACCAGTTTCATCCTCCAACGAAAGGAATCTGGAGTTTCTCCCTACTTTTCAGGTTTCACACTCAAGTCTTGGGGTTCAACACTGCAGCAGGAAGCAGGTTTGTCCCTGTACTTTCAGTGGCCACACCACAGGGGGGTTCTTTGTCCTTTATTTTCTATTGCAAGCCTTTACCCAAACCCTGGAGAGCTCTGGAGTTATTCTATAAGAACACCGAATTCAAAACGAAGCACTTAACAGAAAGAGAGAGGAACTGACACCCAGGCTAGTCTGAAAGTGTTTCAACGTTATAGGAATTAGACTCTGGGGAGGAGTCTCGGTAGGTAAAGCACTTCCAGTGTAAATATGAGGACCTGAGTCCAGATCCTCAGCCCCCATGTAAAATCCAGGTGCAGCAATGTGCGACTGTAACCCCAGAGCCAAGGAGACAAAAGGCAGGTAGTCTAGATGATTTGCTTCAGGTTTAGTAGGAGAACTGAAAACTCTGTTGTGTCTCAAGATACAAAAATGGAGAATAACAGAGGAAGAAACCTAATGTTGACCTCTGACCTCTACATACATGCACAGGTTGGGGGTACATAGTAAACGAGCTGACTCATGAGCTATTAAAATTAACCTGCATGCAACTTTGCATATTTCACCTCTTGACTGCTAACCCGTATAGGCTCACTCCTTTTTCACAGCAACATGGAAGTTTCTGTTTTCCCAAGAAAAGTCTGTGTCTTTGTTGGCTACTGAGTCAGATATCAGACTGCTGAGTAGCTTTTGCTGCCATTAGATTAGCTGCAGTATCTTCTCATTTCCCCCCTCAATCATAGCCACAAATCCAACATCGTACATATTTGTTCTTCATCCTCTCTTCTTAAGTCAGATTTACCAGTGGTCAAGCCATCGTAGTGACTGTTTTGAAGGCTCTTGAATAATACCTAGTTCGCTGCTTTCTACATTCTAATTCATAAGGCTCTCTTTCATTGCTCTCACAGTTTATTAACAATCTTGAGGCTCATGTCTTCGGGTTTCAGCACCATGAACTTAAAGGTGTATTTGGAGCGAGGAGTGTAACATTGCTTCTCACTCCTGCTTAATAGCAAACATGATTATCTTTTAAAATAACCTTTGTCTATTCCTTGACAATGTCACACATGTACACAATGTCTCTTGACTATATCCGCCCCCCAACATCCCTCTCCATTGCCCCCCCCATACTAACAGTCCCCATCCCCCTTTCACATCCTCTCCTTTTTGGAAACTACTGAGTCCAGTTGGTGCTCCCTGCTGAAATGCTTACCAATCTTGGCTTTCTCTTTTGCAGTGACCACAGGTGCAGTGAGCTCCTGAGTGCCATGGCCACACCATGTCCAGGATCTTCCATTCTTCCCACCCCAGCTTCTGTGGTGTTTCCGGAGTCTGGACATAGTGACTGCAAACGCCTCATTTAGAGCTGAGCATTCCATTGAAACTTATTCTGAGTCTTCTGACCAGGTACGAGGCTCTTCACTGGCTGCTGCCCTTACAGAACGAAATGTCTGAACTCACAGCTGAGAGCAGTACCAATCTATAGGCATAACTATAAATATTTAGTAACCATATTTACTGTGATTCATTTGATCCTAAATGGACTGTGGACAGGTTCCCTTAATCTTTGTACAGTCTTATTTTTTAAGAATTCTGAAGCTTCAGACACGGTCCCTTTTATCAGTCTTCACTAGGTGAATATAATATTAGCTTTTAAGTGTTGGTAAAAAGTCGTGTTAATTTCGTAAGAGCTATGACTGTGGTCTGTGCACTTTGTCCGTGTTTCTCTATAAATAAGACATTTTCCTTCAGCCATCAGTCCCTACAGATAGACGGCAGACACTGTTTTCCTTTGATGATTGATGCAAAGCCCATTAACCTTTGTTCAATGTCAAGTTGGTGCTCTTTATGTATTGCCTGTTTTCACTGTCCCTGCTCTGTTTTCCAACTTGTCCTGTGTAATTGTTTCGTCTTAAACTCACTCATAATTATGACATTATGGATTTTTTCCTCTTATCTTCCATTTTGTTATACATTTTATATTCTAATAATTACAATTTCCACATAAGGGTTTATGGTTTATACACATTTATGATTTCTGCTTTTTAACCAATACAAAAGCA